CAGCCAATCCATCCCTAAAATGACATCAAAATCGACCATATCAAGAAGTAGGAGATCTACACTAGTCTCAAGACCCCCAATAATAACCACACATGAATGATAGACACGATCTACAACAATAGAATCTCCCACAGGTGTGGACACATATACAGGAGCACTTAAGGAATCACGGGGCACAACAAGAAATGAAGCAAAGTAAGATGACACATAGAAGTAGGTAGACCCTGGATCAAATAGAACTGAAGCATCTCTACTAAACAGTACCTGTGATAACAGCATCGGATGACTCAACCTCCGGCCTGGTTGGAAAAGCATAACATCAGGGCTGGGCCCCACCACTCTGAACCATATCTCTAGGACGACCTCCTGCTCGCTGGCCTCCACCTCTAGTAGCCTGGCCTCCACCTCTAACGGCCTGACCTCCACCTCTAGCGACCTGACCTCTACCTCTTGCTCCCTGACTTCTACCTCTGACTGGTTGTGCACGCAGTGGCGCACCCGGTGCCGGAATCATGGCACGAGAACTTTGCTACTGTGGCGGAACGCCCACTAATCTCAGACAGGTCCCCGGATATGCCCATAGCCACCACACTAGAAACATCCATCCTGATAATGCAGTCGGACGGGCCGGTTGACCATGATAGTAACTCTGAATAGGAGGTGCACCGATAGGAGCTGGTGGTGCACTGTAGGCTAGCTGATCCAAATAATGCATGTGAGGACCACGACTACCTGAAGCACCATGGGATGCCTGGAGTGCTGAATGAAATGGCCTGGGAGGATGGCTACCAAAAGTACATCGACCTCCAGATGACGCCCTACTGAATCCACCGGAGTGACGCGACCTCTTGCCAGACCCCTAACCACTCCCTTGAGCTAAAACCATCTCAACTCGCCTGGCAACATTAGCTGCATCCTGGAAAGAAATCTCGCTCCCAGTCTCCTTAGCCATCTGTAATCTGATAGGCTGAGAAAGTCCCTCAATAAACCTCCTCACCCTCTCTATCTCTCTCTCTCTCTCTCTCTCGGTAGGAAGCAGAAGAATAGCATGACGGGCCAGATCCACAAATCGAATCTCGTACTGAGTGATAGTCATAGAACCTTGTTGTAGACGCTCGAACTGCCTCCGATAGTCCTCTCTCAGAGTGATAGGAAGGAACTTCTCAAGGAATAATTGAGAGAACTGGTCCCAAGTGAGAGCAGGCGACCCAGCTGGTCTGTCCAACATATAATCCCTCCACCATTTCTTGGTGGATCCCGACAGACGAAATGCAGCAAAGTCGACCCCATTGGTCTCCACTATCCCCATCTTTCGTAACACCTCGTGACAGCTGTCCAGATAGTCCTAGGGATCCTCTGAAGATGCACCGCTATAGTGAACTGGAAAATCTTGGTAAACCTATCCAATATCCACAAAGCCTTAGAAGACATAGCCGATCCATCACCGGTTTGTGTTGCAACACCCGGCGGAACTACCCCAACGGGCTGAGTTGCCGGAGTCTGAAACTGAGGAGCCATCTGCTCCGGAGTATGGGTAGTGGGAGTCTGTGCTCCTCCCCCAGCCTGAGAGACGGATGGTGAAACAAGAAATGTGTTGGCCTGCGCCAAACTCTCTATGAAGCCCACTAGACAGACCAAAGCATCCTGAAGTACTGGGGTAGCGATGAACCCTTGAGCTGGCCCTGCTGGAACGGCCTGGGCTGGAGCCTCCTCCTCAAACTCTACCTGAGGCTCCGCCGCTAGTGCTGCTGCTCGAGCTATGGGCTGAGCCCTGCCCCTGCCTCGGCCTCGGGCACAGCCTCGGCCTCGTCCTCTGCCCCTCGTAGGAGCTGCCACTGGGGGCTCTGGCTGCTGCTCAGCTGAAGAAGCAGTACGTGTTCTCGCCATCTGCGATAGAACAAGAGTAGAGAGTTCGATTAGCATTGAGAGAACAAAATCGCACGACAGAGAAGAATAGTGAAATTTTTCCTAAACTCTGTAGCCTCTGTAAGATAAGTACATACGTCCCCGTACCGATCCCCCAGACTCTACTAAGCCTGTTCATGAATCATGAGACCTAGGCAACCTAGTGCTCCGATACCAACTAGTCACGACCCGGAATCTCCACCATCGGGACCATGATGGTGCCTAATATCACACTTGCTAGGCAAGCCAACGTTAGAGTTTTAATTAGCCAAATCCTTTACGTTTCAGTGATTAATAATAAACAAACTAAAATCAGTAAAATAAATGCAGAAAAAGTAAATAGCCTCTTCGTTTATATACTATTACCAAAACTATCACTATTACTATTACTACCCAAAATTCGGTTTCACAATCCACGAACACACTAAGATTATCTACAAATATTTGTTCGAAAGAAGATACAACTATTTATGAAGGGAAGTAAAAACAGTAAATGTAGGAGCATAGAAGGGGACGCCAGGATCTGCGGGCGCTAGCAGGACTACCTTTGGTCTCCTAGTTGTAAATGTCTGCAACCAACCTCTCGATCAGCCACTACCTGCTCCAAAATCTGCACAGAAAGTGCATAGTGTAGTATCAGTACAACCGACCCCATGTACTGGTAATTGCCGAGCCTAACCTCGATGAGATAGTGACGAAGCTATGGCGGGGCATTTACAATATAACCTGCATACAGTGTATAATAAAAGCATAAAGAAGGACAGGATAAAATAAAGCAGTAACTTGCAAGGAATGAACACAATTCTCGAAACATATCATCAGTGCTCAGCTATAACCAATCCTTAAGTACAGTTTAAGACTACCGTTCAGCTAACACAGTCAAAGAAAAACATAAGCACAAGGATTGTTGCGGCGTGCAACCCGATCCCACCATATCACAATAATCACAATTACAATTCACCCTTATCTCACCACAATCCACCCTTATTACACATGTTGCGGCGTGCAATCTGATACCACCGTATCACAATAATCACAATTACAGTTCACCCTTATCTCACCACAATCCACCCTTATTATACCTATTGCAGCGTGCAACCCGATCCCACCGTATCAATCTCAATTACTCAGCAAGAACAGAAATTACACAATTCAAATCACATAACTCTTCACAAGGCTCAACTTCAAATCAAAGCATTAAGAAAGATTATGTACTATGAGACTTTACACAAGTAATACTACTCAGCGAGACCAATCCAATATGCCTTGAAAGTACTAATAACCAGCTCAAACAAATATTAGGAGACAACGAATCTATGAAAGAACTAATACTTCGAACAAGAGATACAATGTCTAACAAGTAGCAAATAGGCATGGAATTACAAGTAAAGCATGTAGCAGTTAAGGCAGGAAAAGACAATATAAGAAGAACGGGAAGGATACAGGCAAAATAGATAAATTGGCGGGGCATAGGTACTCGTCACCTCACCTATACACCACTCACATGGATTTCATATAGCAAATAAGTCAAGGGTTCCTAATCCCTCGAGTCAAAGTTAGGCACAACACTTACCTCGCTCCGTGGGCCACTCAATGCTCAATTACCATTTTTCCTCTAGTATCTACCTCCAAACTACTCGTATCTAGCCACAATCAACTCAATAACATCAATTATTGCTAAATGAACCAACTACAATGCATAAATTTAGATTTCTCAAACTTTTCCCAAAAAGTCAAAAACCGACCCCGGGCCTGCTTGGTACAAACTCGAGGTTCGGACCAAAATCCATTCACCCATTCACCCCCGAGCCCGAATATGTAATTAGTTTTGAAATTCGATCCCAATTTGAGGTCTAAATCCCAATTTCCCAAAAATTCCTAATTCTACCCAAACCCCCAATTTCTACCATGGAAATCCTAGATTTTAGGTTGAAATTTTATAAAATGCAATGGGTAATTGAAAGAAAGTGGTTTAGAATCACTTACCAACACTTTTGGGAAAGAAATTGTCTCTTGAAAATCGCCTCAAGGTCTTCTAGTTTTTTGAAAATATGAAAGAATGACTTAATCCCGTATTTGAGTTCTGTTTTTAAAAGACTAGGCAGGCTTTCTTCGCGTTCGCGAAGGGCCTGCGGCGTTCGCGAAGAGCTGCCTTGTTAGGCTTACGCTTTCGCGAATTCCTCCTCGCGTTCGCAAAGGCTATGCCCCCTGGCCTTCGCGTTCGCGTAGAAAGAATGACTGACCTCCCCCAAGTCCCTAACTCTACGCGTTCGCGAGATGCCGGTCGCGTTCGCGAAGGGTAAGACCCCCACTGCTCCGCGTTCACGACCGAGCGTACGCGTTTGCGTAGAACAAAACCCACCCAGCTCCAATTTACTCTTCGCGTTAGCAAGAGTAGCTTCGCGAATGTGAAGAAGAAAACTAGCAATCACTGAAGCTGCAGAAAAATCAGAATTTCCTAAGTCTAAAACATCCCAAAGCCTATCCGAAACTCACCCGAGCCCTCGGGCTCCAACCCAAACATGCACACAAGTACTAAAACATCATACGAACTTGCTTGCGTGATCAAATCGCCAAAATAACACCTAGAACTACGAATTTAGCACCAAATTAAATGAAATTTTCAAGAAAGTTTTAAAACTTCTAACTTCACAACCGAACGTCCGAATCACGTCAAATCAACTCCGTTTCTCATCAAATTTCACAGACAAGTCTTAAATATCATAATAAACCTATACGGGGCCCCGGAACCAAAATACGGACCCGATATCAACAAAATCAAATATTAACCAAATTCTTAAAACCATTATATTTCTAGTCTTTTCAATTTTCAACAAAAATTCATATCTTGAGCTAGGGACCTCGTAATTCGATTCCGGGCATACGGCCAGGTCTCATATTTCATTACGGACCCACCGGGACTGTCAAAACACGAATCCGAGTCCGTTTACTCAAACCGTTGACGGAAGTCAACTAAATCAACTTTTAAAGGCAAAATTTATTATTTTTATCAATTTTCAACATTAAAGCTTATCGGAAACACGCTCGGACTGCCCACGCAACTCGAGGAGAGTAAAAATGAGATTTTTAAGGCTTAAGAGCGCAAAATCAAGTTCTAAAATATAAGATGGCCTTTGGGTCATCACAAATGTCAACTGAAATTTCTTTGTATGCTCATGTAGCTATGCGAAGAACTGAAGAGACCAACCGAAGTCCAAGATTGGCTACTTAGAAGAGTTATATACACAAGCTAATTAACGTCTTTATATTTTAATTGTAGGACCGTCATATGTTCCCCCTAACACCACGAACTGCTCGTTTCTTTCTTCAAGCCATGCATATCTTGTGCCATCTTCCTCCACCTTCACTTTTTTAACATCTGCAATTCCATTCACAAAGTAAATTTAATAGTCTACAAGCAAACTATTAATGTAGCTTAACAGACACAGGTACCTTCTGTCATACCAGAACAACAGTCATAAGTGAAATCTTGATAGTATGTACAATGGCGGCCTTCAGATTCCGAGTATGGTGGCCCTAAAACATCTAGTAGAATACAATGTGTTAGAGCTTTGAAGCAGTGCAAATTTCCTCCTGATTCCGGGAATAGAACTGATGCATCGCACGGTGCAGTGATGTCTGCATCAAAATGAACCTTTGCTAGCCGGATTCCAGATTGCTGCTCGCCTGTACCCAATTGTTCAATGCATGTTCGATGAGTTTAACATTCATGTTGGGTGTATGAACAAAGTCTCACATTGATAGCTGAAAATATTAGGAGCCTACATATAAAGTGTAGGAATCTCTTAATGGTACGAGGGTATGAGGCCTTTTGGGGAAAACCGTTCAGGCTTGGCAAAAAACGAATAATATCACACCATGTTAAGAGTATCACGCCGATTTAGCCCAACAATACAGTATTGACAATGTAAATCAATTTTACAATATCAGGTCATAAAAATATTTCCAGGCAATTGCCGATAGTAAGTTAAATTAGTAATCTAGATAATATTGAGAGAGGTAGCTTGCTATACATAAGCAAAACTGTAATAGTGATAGTGAAAATATTATTTGCACCATTAGCATTTATAAGTTAAGCTGGTGCTCAATTAGAATATATCAATTACGTACGCACTAATTAAAATTAAATGATTTCTTACAATGGTTAAACTGTTGGTGATTCTGCACCCAATCATATGACGTGGCATGCATGGTTCCAGCTAGAAGCTTGCAGAACACGGTCATGCCGGGATGATTATGAAGAGGAATTACCCCACAAGGTGGCAAACAGAAGATCCCTATCTACACGAGTTAAAATCATGAATTAAAACTAATTAAATTTCCATTGCACCAACAGACATTTTTTTTCGTTAATTTAATTTAAAAGATAAAAAGGGACTATATATACCGAAAATTTGTTGCATTCATGAAGCTTAATGTAGGTGACAAGAGGAGCTTCATCTCCAGTTCCACTTCTACTTGAAAATTCCAAGCTTGGCACTGTAAGCTTGATATCTTTTGGTTCCAGACCATCTGCCGTTAGTACGTAGAAATTAATTATGGCAGATAACAAGCTTATCACTATCTTCATTAAGTCACGTAACGAAATCTGAATTAATTTTTGAAAGAAATTATAGTCAGCAAGTAGAGGAAATTAACGGCTTCTGAATTCCATATATACACTTTTTAAATAGTAAATCATATTTTTTTGCTGAAGAGGACGTATTTCACACACACGCACACATATATTAATCGTTACAAAAATTCCTCCTTCTAATTAGTATAAATTTGATTTGAAAGATCATTAACATAAGTGTCATATACAAGAGAAGGTGGGGAAATAAAACGTAGTAGAGCAAAAAGTATATTAGTAGCACAACCAAAAGACCAAGAGAAGGAAAGAAAGGATAGGAGTAAAATACATGGAGAGATAAGTTCTCTTATCGATAGATTACTTAAGAATTTTGTTAGCTACGAGAGATTAACGACAAATTAATGATGAAGTTCGTATAATTTCAGAAAATTTCGTTAGCTACGAGCGATTTATTGACAGATTAGCGACGAAGTTCGTATTCAATTTTTTTAGCAGTGTTCATAGATCTCAAATGTTCATAAATATATAAGCAAGCAAAAGTAGTGTATATACATACCGAGTACCGACTTTAGTCGGTGGATGTCGGAGGGAGGAGGAACATAGCCAGCCTTACCATTAACAAACACTTCCTTGCAAGTGTCATACAACTTTTGAACCATATTCTTCTTCCTTGATAATCTCTTTCTAATCAGCTTTCTCCTTTCAGATTCCTTCTTCGTTTTCTTCTTCATCTTCTTCTTCGATAAATGAGAATAAGTTCGTCCTGTCAACAGGCTCTTTTTAGTTAGCAAAATCCTCCCAATATTCATGCAGGAAATATTGTGAACTACTGTTATTTTGCTGCAAATCTTGATGTGAATATATGTTGGGGGTTAGTGAAAATAGCCAGCCAGGTGATGGGGTTGTTTGATAGCTGTAAAATGACGAGGATTTTGGAATGGCATTATATGATTTTACGTTTATATTACTCAGTTTATGGAAGTCAAAGGTTACAAAACCAGGGGCCATGCAAAAAACCATTCCTATGTGCTAGACCAGATAGTGGATTTTTATCCATGAGGAATGGTCTCTCCCCTTGTAAACAAATGTACTAATCATCAATCGACAGCTTTCACTTTTAATTTTTAAAGCTTCCGCACACCATATGACTAATGAATTTCATACTTAATCTTGATTTTTAATTTTATTTCAATTTTTGTCGGTTGGGTTGCTAGAATGTGTTTTAGCAATTCTCCTATTCACACATGTACCGTTTACCTAACTTTCTTATTTTGGGTTATGCTTGTATAATGATTATTCATGACTTACGCCAAAAATGAATTTTTCATGCCTAAAATTCAATTGTGTTTCTCCTCCACTTGTATATTTATTTTAATTTTAAGACCTCAAGGCCATAAACCATACATAGGCATGCTTATGGGTGTACCTGGACGGGATTGGTTCGGTTTTTATTAAAATCGAACCAGACCAACTATATTGGTTTGGATTGGTTCGATTTTGTCGGGGTTTTCGGATTTTTTTGTTGCATGAATATTGTTTCAATCTTACTTTGTAATTTTTTTTACAAGTAAATATATGTTTAGTAAAAATTAAAAAATTAGCAAACATATGATATATTAAGCTAATTTTATGGGAGAATTTTGTTAATAACATATGATAGTTACTTTTTTAGTCGTCCTACAATAATTTTTTGTTGATGTATACTTTCAAGGTTAAACGAATTTACTAAATAAACATAAAAATCAATATGATACCTAATTAATGATATGTACTATTTAATTTTAGATTGTCGAAATATCACTTCAAATTCGAAAAAGATATAAGAATTTAATAAATCTTGACATATGAACATGGAAGAACAAAGAGATTGACGCATTTCAGTAACACTTGATAAGAAAGTGATCATATAGCCCATTATTTAAGGTTAATAAAAATGGAATACTTATATTTTATTAAATATTACATCCCATAAGAGAATTTCAAATATTTCTAGAATTTTTGTAGAAATAATTAATATAAAGTCTTAAAAGTATATATAAAAGTTATATATTTATATGTCAGTTTGGTTCGGATTTTTTTACTCAATACCAAACCAAATCAAACCAAACCTTGTCCGATTTTTTAATCGATTTGGTTTGATTTTTCGATTTGGTACGATTTTCCGGTTCAGTTTGCAGGCATGCTCGAAATTTTAATTCGTTAATTCAGTTGGCTCGTAAAAAGCGTTCGAAATTTTGCTGTTGTTATGAACAATAAAAGAAGAAGAAGAATATTGCAGAGAAAAGTAGAGAGAGAGAATTCTTATTGATTTGGGATGATTTACAATGGAATAGGACCCCTCTATTTATAGGGAGAGGGTGACTTAGCCACCAAATAATAAACCCTAGAATCTCTCTAAATATAGACATTCACCATAAATAAAATTCTATTTATAACACTCCCCCTTGAATGTCTATTCAACAGATAATGTGCCCCGTTAAAACCTTAACTAAAATAAAACCCAATGGGAAAAAAAATTCTAGAGAAGGAAAAAGAGTACACATATCTAACAATACGCCTTTTGGTTGCCTCGTTAAAAACCTTGCAAGGAAAACCCAGTGGGACAAAACCTTGTAAGCAAAAAAGAGTACAACGCGTATTAACTCCCCCTTGATGAGAGCATCAATTCACATCCTTGAGCATTTGCATTCCAATCTTGTGCACCATCTTCAAAAGATCTTTGGTAGAGATTTGATGAACAAATCAGCCATCTTAACTTGAATGAATATATTGCACCTTGAAATCATCATTCTTGATAGAGATGTAATGTCTTCATATAATGTCGTGGAATGACTTTTCAATACTCCATAGAGGTATTCTCGCTATCACATCATCATGCTTATAGTTATAGCAAGATACATTTGTGCATAGATTGCATTGAGGATGTGGTACTTCAAGATCAAGAATTGTATATGCTTCAAGCAATTTAAATCCTTCAGGGATTGTCATATAAGCCATATAATAGACTTTAGATGCATATCAAGTTTTCATGTCATGCTAGACATATAAGATATTGAAAACTGATTGCACATACCATTGACTTTGTACTTTCAAGTGTTTGAACTGCAAGTCCAAAACTACATGTCTTTCATATGAAACCAATTCTATTTGAAATTGTTTCACCAGACTTAAGATCCTCATATATATTTAACGGTATCATAGATGTCGTCGACGAACATTTTATATCGGTTCCAACCTTCTTATTTTTCATAAAGACATAACATAGAGATCTCTTCATTCATATATTCAGGTACCTAAATCTTTCATGAGATTTTATTAAGTGTTATGTCATGAGATCTTCTAGATCACTTGCCTCCTTTATTATGATCATTTTGATCATTTGCTCATCTTCTTTATCAAGAAGTTTATTTGAAACCGATTTGTCTGTATGCTATAAGCGTACCATAGACTTTGTCCTTCTAGGACTTAATATGAGCATTTGCAATGAGAATATAGTTACTTTCTTTGGGTAAGCAAATGCGTCTGGCATGCTTTGCAATATATTGCACATGAATTATCTTTTTATGAACTTCAAATTCATATTATCTTATTCGAGGATCTAGATGTAAAAATGATAATTCATTCCACGTAACTTTTTCTCAATTGTTTATCATGTCTCCCCCTCATGTTAGAAAAACTAACTCGTTACCTCAACTTTGAGAATCCACCTTTGTGCGTTATGGTGTTAATCAAAATATACACCGCACATCAATAATAATAAGATGGAATTATTTGGTTCCTGACCCTGAACTACTTGTGCGGGGAGAAAACAATATACTTTGGTATATAACGTATATCAAACTGATATAGATAACTTTGTTCTCATAAGCAATTGTTTAGCTATTAAGTAGAGGCACTTAATAAATCATTTTGCTAAACGAACTGTGATGTAAACCAACTTATCAAGATGAACTTCTTGAATAGAAAATCTGGAAATTATGCTCGAAATTAAATTATTGAGCAAGTTACTCGCAAAGCACCATGTTGCGGGTTAATAATAATTGCACATGTAACCATCTCATAGATGCATCTTATGTGGTATACATGGCAGGTGAATGGGCCCATATTCACCTTTGATATTTCCAGCATTCATGGGATTCAATCCCAATTTTAATTGGTCTATTAATTAATGAGAGCAAGCAATGTAAGAGAATTCGTAAAGAACTTTCTAGTTCTTTAATATTTACCCATGTGAATTCTCTTTTATTTTTGCACATCATACTTAAATTGATATGGCTAAACCAATTATGCCAACTGAATAAATTATCAATATTGATAAACTTCAGATTTACACCATGATGTGTGCAATTATGAATAAACTCCAAGTTTATTATGATATGGGTTTTTATATCAATAAATATCCACTTCATTGTGGTATTCTTTTGTTTATGTAGTATAAATTAGAGAATAAAGCGGGTAGCTTTTCACATACATATTACCCCGCTACAAGTTGTAGTAATAGAAGATATTAAATCTTTCCTTTATTTATAGTCTCAGTATGACCAACCGCTTTCGTGAATACTTTAGAAACTGAATAAGTTTCTTTGAGACTTACTACAACACAATACCTTATTGGTAATCAATTGTGTTTCTCCAAAATAGTATAATTGGCTCTTGCAGAGTTCTCAATTAATTTTGTACTACCACATATTCATCAACATCCATATGGTGAATATCTCTTTTAAAGAGAAAGTTATACCATTATGGTTATGGTCAAAATTATATGCAAGATATGTTTCTTGCACTAATGTTATTCTTTAATAATCACATTACCAAAATATTTTTGCGTACAATAGGTACGTGATCAATGACCATTCATACCATAATAATGACATTGTTTTCTTATATCATCTCAAACCTCCCTCTAGAGGTGAGTGTGGTATATTCACTACCACTAGCACGTTCATATTCTTCCAAGAATGAATATGTATTCATAAATAAGATGTTATCACATTCACATCATGAATGGACCATAAGCATCTGTATGTGCTTTACGAAATCGTATGTCAAATCGATGACAAACATCAACTTCACAGAGTGAAGGCTTATTTTGAGAATCCTTATTATTCTCATTACCACGATAATGACGATTATAATTTCGTCTATTGCCACGTCCACATCCATTGATACCTTCACGGTAATAATTTTGTCTTCTTTCAGACTTATCACATATTGCTATCACATTCTCTTAAAGGAATGAGAATGGAGCAAATTCAATGGGACATGTTTTTAATTCTTTGCCCACAATCATACATGAATTTGATCATGGCGAGGCATATAAATTTTACCACTTCAGGTGGTTAAAACTCCATTAGAGTTATACTCAAACTTTGTTGTCTTTGCTTGTATTTAAAATCAAAGTATAGAATAAAAGAGAAAAATACAGTAAAATACTTACCTTAAATCCAGAATTTAATCATGAAGGAAGTTCATGGAATAATTGACAATCATTATGCTCAATCCCAAAGCTTCTACTCAATTAGTTAGAGTCTCGTACTGATAACGTGTTATGAACAATAAAAGAAGAAAAAGAATATTGCAGAGAAAAGTAGAGAGAGAGAATTCTTATTGATTTGGGATGATTTACAATGGAATAGGACCCCTCTATTTATAGGGAGAGGGTGACTTAGCCACCAAGTAATAAACCCTAGAATCTCTCTAAATATAGACATTCACCATAAATAAAATTCTATTTATAACAGTTGCTTCAAAGTCGCTACTTATACCTAATGTGCTAGCCTGGAAAAAAATTTAAAATAATCCATATCAAAACATTTCAAACAGAGATTCGAGTCAGATAATATTAAATTCCATCAGTACAGATGAGATTATGCTAGATCCAGCTTAATTGTAAACTAGATTATAGAAAGGATAATGTTAGATCTAAATTTGATCTCAAATTTCCCAGACGGACTTTCAGATAATTTGAAGATTAATTTCAACATCATTTTAGTAAGAACAACTCCCAGCTTGCACCTAAATGTAAAACATGCTTTCCATGGTTGTTTCTGTTCTACGGCACAGACATAGCATATTTAATATGGTGACTTGCCAGTTTTGGTTACCAACCAATAGCCTGTTTGGCCAAGCTTCTCAAGAGGCCAAAAGTATATTTTTCTCTAAAACACTTTTTTTTCTAACTTGAGGTATTTGGCCAAGCTTTTTTGCGGGAAAAAGTACTTTCGGGAAGAAGTAGAAGCAATTTCTGAGAAGCAGAAAAAAGTAACTTCTCCCCAAAAGCAGAAGCAGTTTTGACTTTTAATCTTACCAAAAATACCCTTAATAAAATATAATATATACCAAAATGACCGTTAAACCTAATATATATATATATATATATATATATATATATATATATATATATATNCTGAATGATTTTTAATATATTTAACTTATGTTAAATGAATTAAGTACTCGTTAATTTATTTTCATATTTACTTAAACAAAATGGAAAGAATTAATTATTACCTGTAATAACAAATTTTTGAGATTATTTATTTACTTATAATATTAACTATTAAGTAAATCTATTCATGTCCTTATTCGTAATTTGATACTTAAAAACACTTTCTGAAAAGCTTGGCCAAACACAAATTATTGCTCAAAAGTACTTTTCAAGTGATTAGCCAAACACAAACTGCTTCTCTCCAAAAGTACTTTTTTCAAAAGACTTCTCAAAATAAACTGATTTCTCCGGCTTGGCCAAACGGGCTACAAAACTGGAATAAGCAAAAAAATATCTAGCTAAATTAGATGGCAAAAGTTTCCTTCGCTATTAGTGCTTTACGTGCAATGAGTCGAACAATAGGGTGAACAAAAAGGAAATGTCCAAAAAACACAGGGAAGAGATTCTAAAGTAGCTGATACGTGGATTGAGCCTTGCGTCAAAAACCTTGTGTAAGTGCAAAAACTCTGCCTGCCAAAGGCGGAGGTATTGCAGAAATAGCCTGCTGAATAACCTGATAAGACAAAAATTGTTAGAATGATGCAAAAGGAAAGAAACAAGTTAGTCCCAGAATTAGATCCTTTCTTTATTAGGGGAAAACAATTAATTGGGAGAAATTTTATTTGATATGAGACTCAATTATTGTCAGTTGTATGAGGTCATCACTGTCCTGTATTCTGGGACCCATGACTTTTAGTTAATTTCTCTTTTACTCTTTCTTCTCTCTTCTTCATCACCCCAGAATCATCTTGCTTCTTTCTTCCTTATTTTATTTTCATTTCAGAAGGACTCACTGCCCCCTACCCTAAATAAATTTTCTTCCTCCCTTTATTTTTTCGTAATTCTCTTCCTCCTTTACTAAATTCTCTTTCTACTTCTAGCACTTCAAACTATTCTTTTTCCTCTTAAGTTTTCTCACCATCAATCTTCCTCTCAAGCCCTCGTATTTTGTTTTCTGATGATAGTTTAAAATCATCATCTTTGACATTGCAAAGTACAAAAAATAATACATAAATAGTCTGAAACTCCCAATTAATTTGATTTTGGCTTTATTTTCTTGGAGCGGATCAAAATATGGACAGCTCCAAAGAACATATTCAATGCTTCCAAAATGTGATTAAGACCCGTCTCAGGTCAACAATTTTTAACCATAAAAAGAGGACTAAAGGCAGTACTTGATCAACACGGTCGAACACACCAAACATTTGGTGTTAATGCATCGCTGAAATTGCTTTAATAGGTGCAATTGCTGTAACAACAACAACAACCCAGTAGAATCCCACAAGTGGGGTCTGGGGAGGGTAGTGTGTACGCCCTTACCCCTACCTATGAAGGTAGAGAGGCTGTTTCCGAAAATTGCTGTAGCTCGTCAATAAAAAATTTCTATTAAAACTTGGAATTCAAATAAAATTTTGTTCTGTCTTATCACATTCATTTTCCTTCAATTCTATTTGAATTCCTACTGTATAAATAGAAAGACTTTAGGTCAATCTAGTACCAATATATTTCTTTGTTCCATACTTGTTATATACTAGTCACTTAAATTGGTTGAATGGGTGTTCATATGGAAAGGAGTCGAGATTCATAAGGAGTTGTTTAATGAGCTCGAACATGTACTTGTTTTGAGTGCAGAGTGCCTAGGTATTTTCTATCGGTATCTATGGATTGATCACAAGTCGAAATATGGTTAGAGCCCGTATGTGTCTTGAACTTATATTGAATGCGGTTAATATAAATTTAGTAACATTTTCTGATTTTTTTGATAATCGTCAATTAAAAGGAGGCATTTTCTCAATTTTTGTTATAGTTATTGGAGCCACTGAAGCAGCCCAATAGATCTAAGAGTAAAATTAGAAATTGAGAACCTTTTTAGTTCTTTTTCCCTTAAATAACATGGAAAAAGATAGAGAAGAAGATTAGAAAAGAAAGAACCAAAAAAAGAACAGTAAGGAAGGAATAGAGAAACTCAGAGACAGAGTAAGAGGAAGAAAAATAAGAAACAATGAAGGAAAAAAAAGATGTGATGGAAAGGAGGAGGAAGAAGATGGTCCAGAAGAGGAGAGAAAGACTTGGCAAGTGGGACCCATTCTAAAACACTTGTCAAGCATAGAATATGCCCTCATACAACTTTTGTTGGTTGAGTCTCACACTAAATAAAATTTCTCATTAATTGGTATACAGTAAAAACATGAAAATGACAAAACCCCATTCTTTCCTGATAGTCTTTTAGGTTCCAAAACGCTGTACCTAGGTACGACTGTTGTGAAAAACAAATGACAACAATACTTAAGTGGTTTATTATTAGTAGTTCTTTTTAAGAGAATGAAATGACCACAAAGGTGAAAAGTTACAACCAACAAGTAAAGACGGACATAAAAAATTAAAGACAGTTGGATTCCATCTCAATCGTAGAAACCACCTTCGTACAAACAAAAATGAGAGAGAGAGAGAGAGAAGCTTACATCCAACTGATAGCGGGCTGAGAAGTGGATTAAAAGGATTGCTTTGTTCTGAAACTTGTCTGCGAAATTGATGATCTGGTAGCATGTCATCAAAGCATAAAGAATCGTATATCAGACTCCTAAATCATTCTACAACACATTCAGAATTTTAGCTTCCACGAGTTAGTGAAATCTTGGGGTTAATAAAAAGGAATATCAGGTAATTATGCAAAAAGAACCACCTCAGACAGATGAGTATGTCCATATTCTCTTGCGTCATCAGCAGTTGTTTTGTCCTCCACATAAGTGCTCTGTCGAAGAATTAAAATGTCTGAGAACCAGTAATGTTGATAAGGCAAATTGAACAAAAGATCTTAACACTGCTAATTTTGTCGTGCGACTATGATACTATAACTTGCATAAGAGTGAGTTTAATTTTCTTTGGGATTGGTCAAGTAGAATGATACTACTCCCATCTGAAGTTATTAAAAGATCAGTAAGTTTACTCCAATTGTGTCATCATCATAAGGATAAATGACAGTACTAGTCAGCGACTTTGTAACTACTTATCCTAGAAGCATAACTACATATGTAATGATGCCACAATATGTAATATTTCCCTTTAACATATGAATATTTTCTTTCGCAGCCAAAAAAGAGAACCTTCTGCAATAACTCTGATTATGTCCTCCATTAGTTGATAAACTCATGTTCTAGATATTTGTTGGATTATGCAAAGAAGGCTCAGGAGAACCTATTAAAAATAACTCAGCAACCTGTCCAAAGTTGAAGGAGACAAGATATACATAGAATCTAAAAAATCCAATAGCCAGTGTCACACGTCATCCTCCCTGGAAAATTTGCTAAAATTTAAGAAGGATCAACAAAAATCAATAAAGACTAGATAGTAAATTAGATATAGACCGGAAGTCAGATTAGTCCTTCCAAGGGAGAAAGAAAAATAACTGCAAGGAGTCACAGAAGTTGAGCATCATGTTACAGACAAGGTACATTATTTTAACAAGTGTTAAATACAAGGAATTTACCTCCATAATGAGGACTTTTGCCCTCAAAACATCAACATTTTCAGTATCCTTTATGAAGTCTGACATTGTATCTCCTGTAAATGCAATTTCAGGTGCTGTTGTTGTGTACGTAATCTGTCAAATCCAAAGGTAATCTTTGTCACACATAAGATATCCAGGAGGATGCATTCTTTTGCAAGATTATGTACTAAAACACGCTGCAACTGTTTCTGAAATGAATTGCTCAACGTTTGCACACAAACTTTCTCAAGAAATATAAAGGGCAAAAAGGATTAAATCCTCAAATGTGTCCAAAAGTTTTTGAAGTAAACATGGTCATCCCAATGCATAGGTATTCTTGCCCTTAGTTGGTACAGGAAATAGAATCATTATTTTGTACAGTATAAAGTTCTTCGGTAGTTTTGCCCAGAAAAGAAAGACTACAACATCATGGCACTTACCAGAACCAATAAGATATACAGAAAGGGTAAAGAGATGGAAAAGACGCAGACCCACTGGAAAACAAAAAGAGTGTATAAGATATAGGTGGATGTTTATGTAAAGGATATGCAAACACAATACAATACTTTTGAACCAATGACTGGTTTATATTTTTTGAGAAAATAATGCAAACAAGTGACCTTCAAAAATCATAACAAATTGAAATCAATTAAAAAATGGCTTCCAAGATCCATGACACCATGGGTTTGAATTTAAAACAACCTTGAGAAACAAATGCAATCGGATTAAAGTTCTATTCGATTATGATATCATGACAGACCTCCACACCTGATAACTTCAACTTCTTAATTTCATCTCCTGTAAGGCCAGCATATTCTTGCTTAAGCTTCTGCCTTACTGAATATACTATATAACCCTGCAATATACCATTAAAACAAGTCGATTAAAACCTCAGATTAATAAATATAAAGATCACAATATAAAAATCATAGCGTCCTACTATAGCAGCAGCTTACTCTTGCAGAAAGCACGAAGCAGGTTTGTACTTCACATAATCCACTTTGGACTGGCCAAAAAGAAGCGGGGTAAGGGCAGTGTTATAAATAGCGCTTGCCTCAGCGCTAATAGCGTGAGGCGAGGCGAGGCGAGCAGCCTGCGCTATTTTGGCTCTGTTGCGTTGCGCTTGTAAAAGGCGAGCGCCTCTACTTGTGTAGCGAGAGGCGCTGTGTAGCGAGAGGCGAGCTGTGGCGTCGCTTTTTAAAAAAAAGAAAGAAAAAGGCGCAGATTAGGGCTTAAAACATTAGGGCTTGCAGTGATTTCACGTTTCTTTCTTCTTCAACCTTCAAACATCAGAGCACCCAAGTCCACGCAGCCCAGGTAAGCTTCTCTTCTTCTTTCTCCTCTCTTTCTTTCTTCCTTTTCCTTCTTCTCTTCTTCTTCTTTCTAATTTTTTTTGCTCTGTTTTTTGTCGAGCAACAGTGTAGAACAGAGAGTCTGTCTATTGCTCTGTTTTTTTTTTTTCGTTTTTCTTTTCTTCTGATCTTCTCTTCTTCTTTCTATTTTTTTTGTTCTGTTTTTTGTCGAGCAACAGTGCAGCAAAAAAAGGACAGAGAGTCCGTTTATCCTCTGTTTTTTTTTTCTTTCTTCTTCTGGTCTTCTGTTCTTCTTTTTTTTTTTTTTGTTGCTCTGTTTTTTATTGAGCAGCAGTACTGCACCCTGTTTTTGCAGAGGCAGAGGCAGAGAACTTCTTCAAAACTTCAAACCTGAAATTTCCTCCTTTTTCAGTTATAGAGTAGAATTAATTGCATATTGTGAATTGATATATTCATTAATATATTATTGTTATTGAGTTTTTAGTTATATATATAATATTTTATTTTTTTGTATAAATTGTCGCTTCAGTGAAGCGGGCCCTCGTCGCTATTTGTCACCGCACGCTATCCAAAACACTGGGTAAGGGGAAAGGAGCAGTAATGAGCTCAGATCATTAAGGGAAATTGCTTACCTGGCTAGGAATGACATGGTAAGTCTTAAACGTTCTAACTTTAAGATCTCTTCTCAAGTAGAATTCTTCTCCTGCATATGCACAAAGTTGTATTCACTTCAATTGTGAAATAAGAGCTAATTCCATTTCTGTAGTAACTAATTGAGTGAGCTATGTAATCAATGCAAGTAGATTTTTACCCACATCCAACCCAATCAAAGTGTGGTTCAATTCTGAGTGATCCATAGATCGGTGAGCTTCAAAAAGCTTCTCAACACTTTCTTTGATAACTTTTGGTACAATAATAGTAGGAGGTTGCATTCTGTAAAGGCCGCGAGTCGCAACATAAATAGGCAGTCCTCCAATGTGGTCCATGTGGCCATGGGAGATGAAAAGGAATTGCTGGGAGATGGCACGCTGAGGGCACTTGCCAATATCAAAGGCTAAGTTAAGCGAGGGGACTATTATGCATGTCTCATGACCTGCTATTGATAATCCTTCAAATGAGTATCCTTCAATCTGCAAGCCCCTTTCTCCCTTTTTGGTACTGTTACCCCTCCGATCTGGTTTAATGGATTCAGAATCTTTCGTTGTGTTACTCTCCATTTTGCGAAATACTGATGGACTTCAGCTCTAGAAGTGGGAATTAATAAAGAAGACGGGATAAGGATCAGAGATACAACAAGAATTTAGGAGGAGACAATACACTTCCTAACAATTAAAATGCAGGGCAGACGAAAAATTACTTTTACAGAATCTGTGAGATGTTAGCTATCAAGTTGTCTAACAGACTCATCTTAACTCGAAGGTTCATTAGGGTAAACTAACTTGGATTAAAGAGGCAATTGAAATCAAATATTAGGATGGTTAAAATTAAACCTGGTTTAAGTTAATTCAGGTTCACATAATTTATACAGATATCAATGAACAAACAAAAAAAAACAGGTATTTAAATAATCAAACTAATACTTTCAGGCAATTAAGCTAATTCTCCAACATTCAGTTACATTTAAAACAATTAAACTAACAACCTAAAATCAAAGAAATCAAACTAAAGACAGATAGTTAACCGTACGACCCTCAAAAGCTAGTTATTTGGCCTATTGTTTTTCTCCATGTTAAATTATCAGTATCACACAATCAAAGCACACATTGAAAAATCAACACAGAATTATTACTATAGAGCTAAACTAAATTAGAAAAAATCAGTACCAATTTATACAATTAAAACAACTTACCTTATCTACAAATGTTTGGGGCGGGGGGGGGGGG